CTGTTCTAAGGGTTGATCCAACATTGATCAATCATCTCTTGCATTCTCAGTTTTGCTCCAGTTATTGCCACTCTTTGTAGCAGCGCTATAAAGGTCCCTGTCATTGTAAAAAGGCGACATGCCACCAGGCCTTGTGTGAATTTCCAGTTGATACAGACTGACCAAGCAGGTAGCATTCTATGCTGAACGCTCCTGTCAACTATCCACAAGTCACAGAGCATTTTGCTCCACTGGCAGCATGATGTTATCAACAGTGAAAGGGAAGGTGTAAATTGAAAAGCTAAAATGTTATAGTTGCAGCAGTGGATTTGTGCAATCTTAGGCTTTTCATTAATTTGAAGTTGTGTTAACGGAAAAACGCCTGACATAATGTGAGATAAAATGTGGAAAGACTTGAAAGAAGTCATGACCAATCTGACTGTATGATCTGGTTGAACTGTCTCTGTAAAGTGCCTTGAGATGACATGTGTCGTGAATTGGCGCTATATAAATAAACTGAATTGCATTTAATTAACTTGGTATTTTACATATTGGTCTTTAAATTAACTTTTGATCATTTTTACACAACTAAATAGAGCTCATTTGCTACATGCATCCTTGGTAAGAAATATTTAAAGTCTTAGAAAAAATGCAAACCACTGTCCGCTATCACTGCTTGTTTTTCCAGGGGGATTGAATTCTCGATGCAATCTGCTGAGTTCTCTCAGAAAATACTTTAACCAATCTTTCGGTATAAGTTGATGGAATCTCCCTTATACAGTGCCTTGAGATGACATGTGTTGTAAATATGTGCCATGTAGATAAACGAAACATAAACTTAAATGAATAATTGACAAGAGGTATATGGCCAAAAGGTCTGAATACTAGAAATTGTACTTGAAATGAATAAAAGGACATTACTTTAACAAAGTAATGTCACATGGTGCACACTTACATAACCCAGTTTTTGCTGTTTTTCAACAGATACTTTGATTTTGATTTTTAATACTACATGGGGGTGTTTCACATTTGTATTATATTGCATGTTTGGATGTTAAAATCAAACTTATATGAAAAATACAATTCAAATACAAAGATTACAATAACTCTTCCAAACAGGTGCACAAACCTCTGTTCCCCACAAAGAGGTGCATGTGTGCAGACTACGCTCTAAGATATTCAGCTCTAAGCTGCTATCTCAGACAGCCTTCTGCTGAGCTCGGCTGATAATTTCACAGAAGCAGGGGTGTTGGACATCTGCCAGATGAACTTGGTGCTCTTTACTCCCGTCTTCACCCTGATGCCGTTCCAACAATCTGACCCCAATCCAACTCAACCAGAACCATTAGGGAAGAATGGAGGATCCTAGGCCCAGTGCTTAATAAGGGAGTGTGTTGGTGTGATATGGAGACCAGAGGGAGGGCAGCAAAAACAAAGAAGTGGGGACTCTTTGAAATAGGAAAGAAGGATGGGTGTGCACAAGTTTAAAACATAATAACTAATGGAACCAGTCCTCTAAGAAAAAAAGTTCCTCGTTTGTTTATCTGGTGGCCTTGTGATTGAAAACAGCCAGGGAATGTATTGTCATAAAGTGTTAGACCTAAATCACCACTCTGTAAATCATATGAATCTCTCAGCAGCTGGTCAAATTTTCCTTTAACCGCTTGTTGGAAATATTTCTTACTTGGAATTGAAGCATCCCTTTTTTCGTATTCACTGTTTATGTATTTTTGCTGATGCAATCCGATTTCTTTTTACATTCTAAGATTTCCAAACATTTTAACAGTGTTTAGGATAATTGTATGTTTTCATATTGACTCAGTGTGTTATTTTATATAGACTTGAGTGAAAACACACTTCTTTCACATTATGTCACCCACACTTTATCTAAATCTAGTTGCAGTATTAATTCCACTGCAGTTGAATGAGTGTTGCTTTCCTCGTGGGACCTTCGAGCGAAGGTAGAGTGTTGCTATTTCAGCTGTGGGGTGGAGGGGTGGGTTTAGGGGGGGTCTGCCAGGCCTCACCGCAGAGAAACGGGCAGTGCTGGGGCCGTGGCCCAGGCCTGTGCTACTGACCCGAAGAGCAGACAGTAAACACTGGCTTTATGGACATTCTGCATGTGGTGAGTCCCCAATGTGAGAGCTCTTGTATTACATCTAGAAGCGGAGAGCTCAGTCTCTAAAGGACAGCAGAACCTTTATCTATCTTGTCTTAATGCATACATTAGAGATCTGATTCAATAACAGATCTGGGATTTAATGAAATTGACATTTATGGTTGATTGATTATTATAAACTTTTAGTGTGAAAACAGAAAGATAATAACAGTTAAAACAATTCCTCATCATGTAGTATTTTCATACCAATGCTTATGTGGACTATACTGGCTTTTGTGCTTTTTTTCTGCCATAGAAACTGAATATCTACAGTATACAGGGTTCAAAATTGGAGCTCTTTATGTTATGAGCCTATAGTTTTGATTTTTTTTTAGTAGTTTATCACTTTCTTGAAGGTAATTTTAGCTCCTGATTGTTTTGATAATCCTGTCTTTACTTGTATAGTTCTTTTCTCTTTCATTTTTGTTTTCTGTCTAATCTGATCAGTATCAGGATTCAGTTCTGGTTTGTGCCACAGGTTCAGTTAAAGTTGTTTTTTTTCAGTTGTCCATATAATTATGCTTTCTCAAAACAGTATATCAATCAGTTAATCAGTGTCCTACCTGCTTTTAAGTGATCATCTCAGCAAATTAACTGCTATTTTATCTTTATGGGGTAAGAATGGACCTGTCCAGGGTGTACCCCGCCTCTCACCCATTGACTGTTGGAGATAGGCACCAGTACCCCTCGCGACCCCAATTGGGACAAGCGTGTCAGATAATGGAAGGATGGATGGATGGCCTAAGAATGCTTTCCTGTTATTTTACCATATCTGTCTTTCCTGCTTACTAGTTTTTGTTCTGTTGTTTTTTTCTCGATGATCTTGCCTCCTGCATGTGTTTGCATCCAATACCTCACTAAACCGTGACACTTTCACAATATCCTCAGTTAAACTCAAACACAATGTAATCTAAAGTGGTAGCCAACACTTTCATTCATTCAACATGCAACAATGAACAGCAAATCCGTCTGCCTCTGGTTTCTGTCTCTCCCAAACACGCCTTGTTTTTCTGCTAAGCTTTGTCCCTTATTAAAAACATGGGATGTTTACAGCTTCTAATAAACGCGTAGACTGCTGTGAATTGTTTTTTTTTTTAGAACGGTTACTTTTACCCAGAAAAAGTTTTTCTGTGACACAACTCATAGTATTACTAAAGCAGAAAACACCATCGCTGAATAATGAGTACTACAGCTGGTGGTTACCACTAAGTCTTTGTCTTAAACAGAACTATAAATCATTACTTTGGCTTGTTTTTAACTTATTTTGTACCTTAGTTTGTATGACAGAAAAGTGGGATTTCCCCTTTTTTGTGGAGTCGAGGTTTCCAACACACTAGGACTGGTGCTTTCCTCTTGTTTTTACATGTGCCATAGCAACCAGTGACCATGACCAGATGACAAAATACAAAAACCCATTTGTTTCCATAATGGAGTTTGGTCCACATTATAGCAGAGACCGGGAATTAATGGCGGCAGAACCAGGTGTTGGAATTAACAAAGACTTGAAATTAATTTCAATTTGCTCCCACTTTGAACCCTTTTTTACTGCGTAAACTTTTTTCTAACAAGTATCACCTTTGAAATATTCCTTTCTAAATATTCTTACTGTATGACTGAAATATTCCTGCCTTTGGCTGCTAAAACAATAATTTTACATAATTGAAGGCCTTGTGCTGTAGTCTATATATCCCTGCGTGGATCAGCACCTCAATACATAACAGACTTGTTGCCAGTGTATCAACCTCTCAGACCACTCAGGTCTTCCATTTCCAGCCTACTCTTTACACCCACAACTAGAATAAAAATGTGAAGAAGCAGCATTTAGCATTTACTATGCTCCACTATGTGGAACAAACTCCAAGAGGACTGTAATTGTGCTGAAAGCCTAAGTCCTTTAAGTCAAAGTTAAAAACCCATTTGTTCAGAACTGCCTTTGACCGTTGAAATTAAACTGTTAACCGATGTATCATTAGTTTAAGGTTGTGCTCCAACTGTTTTCTACTTGTTTTTTCTACCTGCTTTTATCAAGTTTTTATGTTTACTTGATTATCTTTTCTTTTTCTTTAACTGTTTTATAAACATAAAGGACTCTGAAACATTTTTGCACTGAATTGTGCTAAGAAACTTGCTTTGTGTTGCATTAACTCCACCACCACTACCACCATCTCTCTCACACACCCACATGCACACACAAGAAGTTTCTAACTAATTTCTTTTTTGCATATCTTATACTAACATATTTGTATTTATTTAGCAAATAACTGATAACTTTTATTCTAAGTAGGCTAGTACCAATAAAAGGCACTACCACAGTGTTATATGCACAAACTAATCTCCAATGGAACATTCTAAAGTAAGAGTTTTAATTTAATTTCATATAGCACATTTTCCAAACAAAACACACAAAGCATTTTACTATAAAATAGACATAAAATAATAAATGAAAAAAAGAGAAAATAAAACCAGAATATTTATCATGGAGGATGAAAAATGATTAAAAACTAATCTGAATAAATTATTCTCGGTTTCAAAAAGTAATTAACCAGAAGGCAGTGCAAAGATGAAGGTGAAAAAAGAAACAGCTGTCACAAATGTGCAAAAAATAACATAAAAAACAGCTTTCACTCTTGATGTGAATGCATAAAGATTCAAGCTGCTTAAGTCTTTCTAAATTATAAAAGTCTAGATTTGCTGGGGAGAAATAAAGAAGACATCGTCCTAAAATCTATCCTGTTATGTTTAAATCATCATCAGCGCTCATCAGCCTCTGCAAACCAAGGGGGGCGTGGTCAGGGGCGGCTCCAGAGAAGCAGCTTGTTTGAGGATAAAATGTGGACAAGTGATGCATAAGCAGCTTTGGCGCAATACAGTCGCAACAAGAAAGGCCGTTTTTTTTTATTATTATTATTATCATTTTAAAGCTGCAGGAAACGAGAGGAGACCCTATTAAAAACTTGAAAGGCTATAAAACGGTTTAGTCACAGCCTTAAGTTGCACCAGAGCTGTTTAACTTTGACTTTTCTTTTTTTATTATTATCATTTTGCGGCCAAAGTTTTCTTCTCAGCCAAATTTAGCGTCAAGATCCCGGCAGCTGGGCTCCATTCCAATTCATTTAAGGTAAATGTTCTCCACTGTCTACATAAACCCTAATCTATGTATTTTCCCTCTCAATGGCCATTTATTTCTATCTATTGATTTTCTCCTTTTTGCATAATAAAAGATTTTTGCATGATAAACAGCTTTAGAAGTTTATGTTGTTGTATTTTTCTTTTAAATTAACAAAATAATTTTTTTTGTTTGTGTGTTTTCTAACCAGCCTTCCTTCCAAATCATTTAAAACTGTTCTTTTTTTTTTTTTTTTTGCTTGAAATATTTTGGAACTTTAGTTTTAAAACTTTTCAAGGACAGTTTCTATTACTTTATTCTAGTCATTTCCAGCCTAAAGTTTACTCTTACTGAACCCCCATGAGCTTTTTCCACAGACTTACCCCAGAGCATGCGTCTGAAAGCTAATGTACTGTCCCTACCAAGTTCAATATTGACACAAGTTATTCAGCAAGTCTCATAGAGAGCACCTTTAATCTATCCAATGACCCCCCCCCACCCAATCCCTGAGCAGGTGGAGATTTTTTTTTTTGCTGACAGAGCTTTTCCAGGTTTTGGAATAGGATACCTGGTTGAATTTGAGAAGCTCACCACCATTCCTTATCACCATTATTTCCAAAGATGTTGTGGCTGAGAGGTGTGACCCTTTTACTGATGGCCCAAGCCTCCACTTCCATGGTGATGCTTCAAAATTCCACTGGATTGAAGTGGATGCTGGACAAATATCTGGATGAAAACGGGGACTGGTGGGAAGCGAAGCAGAGAGGGAAAAGGGCCATCACCAACACCGACGCTCAGCTGATCTTGGACCTGCACAACAAGCTCAGAGGCCAGGTTTACCCCCCTGCCTCCAACATGGAGTACATGGTAGGTGCACGGAGGACTCAGGGCAGGTATTATTCTAAAAGCATGAGTGCTTTTGATGAATCGTGGCTTTAAAAGGATTTAAAATGAAAATGTAAAACGTGATTTAAACTATTTTTACTTCAAATACAAAGGCAGAAATACAAAGGCAACAAAAAAATCCAATCAATGATCATTAAAATTATAATAATATCATCTTTAACATTTATTTATCATTGTTCTTGAGTTTACATTTTTCCAAACATTGGAATTTGTCATCATTTGAACTAGAAAAATGTCCAGAGTCTATTGTAAATGCAAAGAGATTGGGAATGCACAGCAATACATGGGGGAGGGGCATTATGATGTTATACCTGCTTTTAGACTTACTGTTTTGGTCCTAACATACACCGCCTTGCAACATAAGAGCAGGTGCACATGCTATCTGTAGTACCTTCTGCAGTTTTGGAGGCTTTGTAAGTATTTTCTTGGACCCCAGGAATAGCAGTTTCAGCTAAGGCTGAGAGTTATTGGGATCTTTTTCAAAACAAAACAATTCCCATTTTTTTAAGAGTGCACATAATGGACATTTGTGCTTTTGCACTGTTTAGCAGCAAGATAATAAAAAAATTTCTGCAAATTTACATTTGTGACACAGGCTTTTGTTGTTCCTTTAGATTATTTGACCACATGCTTAATAGATGCAGATCAGCTGTACAATGACATCTACTGTGTAAAAAAAGTGCAGTGCATCTCAAGCGTGGATATAATATTCTAGTTCTCTCAAAGCATATGGCATCCATTTTTACAGTGGTTGAATTTACTATGCGTTTAAGTCACTCCAACAGTTTTTACATGTGAAAAAAAAGAATAGTAAGAGAAATATTAAGATGATCTGTCCTTTGAATGCGTTTGCAACTGCATAGTTATGTTTTAGAACCTCAGTATACCTTGATGCCATTTTTGACTTGATGTCAACATTGATGTGAATTTTTTGGGACTTATACCTCTGAAAGGTTTGATCTTGTTTTAATGACAAATTACAGATAAGGAAAAATAAGATTTTTTTTTTTTATTCAGTAAATGAATCAAATGAATTCCATTTCAATTCAATTCAGTTTTTCTAATTCACAACACATATCCCAAGGAACTTTAAAGAGAAAATACAGTCAGATTGGTTAAAAGTTTCTTTCAAGCAAAACCAGCTGATAGTTCAATCCAGGATGGAGTCACAGCTGAACAGGAGACCAGATTAAGGTACTATAATGAAATAAAAGCAGAGAGAGCACAAACTTAAATACTGCAGAATGAGAGAATAAAGAAAGAATGAAACAGAATGAGGAAAAGTTGTCTCTATGGCCACCAGCAGTCTAAACATATAGCAGCATAAATATAGAAAATAGCTCAGGATAACCAATTTTGCATGAGGTATAAGATAGGTAGAGCCACAATAGGGCCATGGTAGAGGCAAGGAGAAACACATGTCCGCACAGAAATTCTCTGCACGCCGGATTCGGCTGTTAACATTTACATCCGTACTCACCTAGAGATTATGCAAACATCATTCTGTGTACTATAACCGTTTTCAAATAGGAATGTTTTAAGCCATGTGTTAAAAGCAGACAGGGTGTCTGCTTCATGGACTAAAACTGGTAGTTGGTTCCAAAAGAAAGCCTGCTAAGGAGAGCCTGCAAACTAAAAGATTCAATTCAATTCAGTTTAGTTATATAGCACCAATTCACAACACATGTCATCTCAAGGCACTTTACAGTACACCAAATCATACAGTCAAATTAATTAAAAATGTTCTATCTAAGGAAAACCGGTTGATTACATCTACTCATTGACTTGAAGGCAGTCCCTCACACCAAGCATTATCTAAGCATGAAACTGCACAAGCAGAGGAACTTTTACCCACTTGCCAATAATCACATTTCCATAGCGTTCTTTTCCCCCTTTTCAACCCCAACGCTCTTGGTAAGAGATTTGTTTGACTTTATCCTTTGGCCATCATATGTATTTGCAGCGCCAGATCACTTTTCACAGTGCAATTAGAATCAAGAGTGCAGTACAGAGGGCCTTGTTTTACCAGCTGTCTATCCCTCCTGGCTAAACACGTAGGCATACACCACACCTTGTATGCAGATCTGGATTTTTTCCAGATCACATACCACATGTAGGCATAGTTTGGCCACCACAGTGCATGGCCATCAACAGCACATCTCAGGTTGAAGAAAGAAAAATCAATGCTATGTGCAGACAGTAATGAGGTTTTATCACCCTTTCTTCCTCACTTAAAGAGCAACAGAACAAAAGCTCGTATTATTCTCCACTAAAGTCAAATAAACGGTTCCTGCTGAGGGCAGTTGCTGGACTGTGTAATTGTGTAATTGAGAGGTTAGGCTCGAGGACCTCTCGTACGTCTGTGTCGAGGCACAAGGGTGTGAAAAAGTGCTGAGTTAGGCAAAATGTAGCTCTTTCCAGCATCTCCAGTTACAGTAGGCCGTTTTTTTTCTTTAAGCTCCGGGGGCACAGTGAGGTTAAATATGGAGCGGTATGCAACAAGAGGTTGTGAGGTATGAGACATAGAGGGAAAAATAAGTCAGAGTGAAGGATAAACAGAGTGGCCGGAATAGAAAAAAGAAAAGGATGCAAGAAAAGAGACTGTTACAGTACGAGACTGGATTAAAGAAGTGTGCATAGAAAAACAAGTTCTGTTCCAAAATAGGTTGGAAAACCACTTGGCAAAGAAAAGCCATTGTTCCAAAACAAACATAAGTAGCCAGATTAAAGTTACCAATCTCTGATTGGATACAAATAAATGTGAAGAATTGGATATATAGATCTTTATAAAGTTAAGAGAGCAAAAGGGGAAGTGTGCAATTCTGAGTATAAATTGATATAGCACAGTGTTCTTGTGTAGAGGTAAGCGATTTCTAAGATAACCAGCTTCTGTGGGATTTAAGAAGCATACCCCATATTACAGGTTTTTTCTTTAGTGTGCAGGAAATGTTCTGTGCAGGCTTTAGGTCACAAGTCTTTCCCTTTGAAGTCAAACCCCAAATGAACAACCAATAGGCAACTATTAAACTTGATACTCCCTTTACCAACTATGTAATTTATTTAAAGAATAATCATGGGAACCCAAAATGGTGTGCAAACATCCCAAAAATTAAACTTACGAACATGGGACACTTACATTGCTTTTCAGTGCTTAAACTTAGACATAACAAGTTTCTTTATATCTCTACTTTATCTCTAACTTAATCTATCTCTTTAAATTTTTAAAATTTACATTAGTAGACATTAGTAGTTCTATCTCTGGTGTGTGAATATGACCGTTTTGGCTTTAAAACGGCTTGCAAATCTCCACACTTTAATTAATTCAATATACATTAGTCACTTTATCAGACTCTTGGATCACAAAAGCATCTCATTACATAACATTAAACCATACGAACTGTTTTCAAATATCAGTTTTCAAAAACCTTGATATATGTTGATAGTGGTTTTTGACACATATTGAAACAGAAAAGGCACTATTCTATGAGTAAGTAAAAAGTGGAAAATAAAACCTTTATTTGCAATTGTGGTCATCAAATTTGAGGTACTGGTCAGATTTATGGGTCAAATCCTTCAGTAACTGATTTCGACTCAAAATGGCTGTTTTTCCAGCTCCTGTCACTTTACGGATACCTCAAAGCTTCAGTCTGCTGGAAGACTTCATAGATGTACTGGGCTGCACTCCAGCTGCACATTCATGCATGCAAAGATACACAAATCTACATACACATAGAGAACCATTTGCCCATCAGCTGTCCTATTGTCCTCATTGTATTCAACCACAACTCCAGTGACCCTCTGAGGCCAGCATTGAAGATAACATGATAAGATCAGCTCCTTTATCTTTTTTTTTTTTTTTTTTTACTTCCCCCTCCTCCCTTATCCTGCTCTCTTATCCTTGTGGCTCTGTTCCCATTCTGTCATTATCCAGCAGAGGCCCCCAAAATTCCCTCAATAAGCATGACAAGACAAGACAAGGCAACAGTTTCTGCCTTTATCTCAGATGTTGACCCACAGGTATAAACTGAAGGGTGTCAGCATTTAAAAAAGTAAAAGACAAACAGTTTTCTTGGGGGAAGTGCTGATGTTTAACTTGACCTTACTACACCAACCTCTGGTCTAAGCTGACTGTGCTGTTACTGATTTATATTGCTATCTTTTTCCCTTACATTTTGAACAGAATCAGAATATGGTTGTGCAGAGGGCATTTAACCGACCTCGTAACTACTGATTGTGATGTTAAAATACTTGAAGATCAGCAAAGTTAGTGGATCCATTATTTCAGGTATGTTCAGTATCTGTATTGATAAACTGTTTATGCTCAGAAGATCTCCACAGGAGGGTGCTAGAGTAGAATAGAGCAGCTTTTATAACTTATCCTCTGACTCTGTTGATGCCTAATACAGTAGCTTTATGGGATTTTGTCCCCATTTACTTGCGTATCCTTTTTGTATAACAGTTTGTTAGACAATCAGTCCTTGATTTTCTTAATTTTGCTTTCTCTGGGTCCCCTTTGCCAGGGTTGTTTTCGTCATCGAGGAAGAGGATCATCAATAGAAAGACAGAAATGACTAGTTAGACATCTGAAACATCATCTCTAGGGCCATAAAAATGAATACCCCTCACACAGCATTTGTTAGCCATAAAAACTTAATGCAAATCCTGTTCCAAGGACTTTCTTTCATCCCAGGGGAAAATTATTGCAAATAAAATATTACACGGTAGTCTTTCTGGAATATTTTAGGATGAGGTTTTATCCCTAAAAGGCAGATTCTAGACTAATCGTCTTATGTATAAGCTTGAGTAAAAATACCAGGATTTACAGTGCAAAATTAAGAATAGGAAAGAACAACACGATTTGTTTAGATTTAAAAAAAAGATGCATATAAAGGTTTCTCTTCTGTAAGTATGAGACAGTCTTATTAGGCTTCTTCAAGACTGCTGGCCAGCAGTGGAAAGCGTCGGGTGAGCCAGGTGCTGAACTGCATTGCCCTGTATTTTAAATATCCAGAACTAAGATCACTTTCTGACACGTCTTAAAAAATCTGTTTGGAAGAGTATGATGATTTTGAAACTGTAATTTTGTACTTTAAATCCAGCTGCGCTTTTATCAGTGTGCTCAATCCAGCCCCTGTTAGTTTACTTTAGTTTATTTTAACATTTATACAAGTTGGTTTTTCTGCCCAGCATGAGACAATCTTGGGCTGGATTGAATTTCTGTTCAGTCATCTTTTTCCAAGGGCTTGAGCTACTTACAGGACATCCCTCTAATAGGTTATCAACATATTTTTGATTAGTTTATAAGGAGTCCTCATTTCTTCAACTCCACATATGGCAGTAGAGTACTCCTTTGGATCATCTGAAAGGTTACAGAGGTCAATAGAACTCCACATTCTTTTACTTAAAGGTGAAAACGTTATAAAATCTTACAATCTTTCAGTCTTTCCTTTCTCTAACCATATAATCAAAGTATTTGACTGTGGGACTTGTGTGGGTTAGAAGGCTGTGACTGAAATACTGAATGGCCATTTACACCAACAAAGATTATGTCACAATCACTATGTACATTCTTCTTTTTTTTTTTTTTTTTTACAATTATTTTCTTCCCTTTTGGGTTCATAAGAGAAAGTAAAGCATTTTAATCCCTTTTGTTTACTCTCGCAAGCACTGCATTCTATCCACACTTTGCTTTTTTTTCCAAGTTCCCATATCTTCAGCTCGCCTCTCACTATTATGGTCCATTGATCACATACAGGAAACACATATTTGCAAAGAAATAGTGTCTGTTCCTCGTAAGGCCAACCAGACAAACACAAAGTAAAAAAAAACAGGCTGCAAATGAAGTGTAAGGAAAATAAAGCAAACCATGTGCGTGGTGCTGAAAAATGTTAGCAAGGGAGGTGGGCAGGGTTTCTTTATGAGCCTCGAAGTGGCAGAATCAGGTTTGTGGTTATGAGGTTTCTCCTTCTGGGGTAGCTGCACAAATAACAGCAGCTTGACAGCCTGATTGTACACTGTGCAGACGTTACAGCTTAAAAAAAAGGGGAAAATAATTTAGGCGGTAAATCTGAGTGGTTTCCTTTAGCAGATTTCCTCAAACAATGGGCGCTATTCTCCAGAGTTTCTTTCCAAGTAAATAACTGAAATGCCATTTGTTTTAGAACTATTCAAGTTCTAAGGCTGAGTGATTTTTAAAAACAAATGCAACAAATGCTTGAATTTCTTCTGCCATTGACCCCTTTGCCTTTGTTTTTATTTTACTGGATTGCAGTAAATACTTTTAAAAGCAGCCTGCAGAGAGGACATTTTAGTTACCTACAGCAGTTTGACAATAGCCCGAGAAGCTGACTATTAATTTTGTGTGAAAATATATCAGCTTAACATAGTTGATACGTTTAAAGACACATACCACTGCTGTAGTTTTTCTTCTGATGCTTCAGCATCATACCATGATAGATCATTGGAAACTAGCCTGTTAATGACATATGAAAATGACCTTCCTGAAGTGAGTAATGCTCCAGCATTAGGACTGAAACTAACGATTATTTTGCAAATCGATTAATTTGTCGATTATTTTTTTATGAATCGATTAATACTCTGATAGCCAAAGGTTCCTTAAAGAAGATTTTTTTTTTACGAAATTAAACCAGGTGAAACTAAAATTTTTCCACTTGAGGGGTTCTGGGTAGAGCATAGTGACAGACCACATTTAAGATTAAATGCCAGACATTTAAGATTTTAAAAAATTGATTGCATTATTTTAATCTTGAATGCAGATTGTTTATATATTTCTTACAATTTTATAATCACTGCTCTAAGTGGGTCGCTCTATCAGGTAAAGGCATGTTTTCCAGACTCTATACTGCAGTTAGTGATTAATAGATTACTAAAATGGTTGAGGATTATTTCAATAATTGATTTATCACGATTGATATGATTAACTTTTCAGCCCTATCCAGCATCCCCTTTTTACTTATTTAAAACCCACATATGTAGGTGCCACTGCAAGTGAATTTGTGCAACATAAATTGGCTTAATGGATGTTAGACTTGGATTAGACTTTTTTTTGTAATTAGACAAACATAATAGGTTTTTAAATGTCATAATAAAAAAAAGAAACCTCATCAAGCTAACAAATGTTAGTGCAGCAGCTTAAAACTCAAAATTTGATTTTTGAACTGGTGACAGTTCAAGTCAATGCCTCACTTCAAGCAGAGTTTATATTTTTCTAGGGTTTGAGTTAAACAAAACTATCTCTATGATAAGAAACCATTTTGGATAAACTCGGAAAGACGTCAAAGGAGAAAATCGGACAACATGTAACTTCAAAAGCTGCAGCTATAATCTGCTCCCTGCAGAGCTTACCATATAGTTTATTAGTTCTGTACTTACAGGCTTTGTGTATAAATATTACATTGAGCTGTGTCAACATATTAGTCATGTTTCAATTTTCTAATGTTCTTTAGACGTGACCTAGGGAAGATGCGGACAAAGAGAATTCTATAAACCTTTTATTTACATGCACTAATTAATTTTCCTGCACAAACTTGTGATCCTTATTTTTCTCTACTGTCATTCAGAGGTATTATAGATGTGTTATTCTAATATACCTTTAGAACATTAAGAACCTGTATGGAGGAGCTTGTTGCTTTCCCCAAACTGGATGAGATAGGCAAGTTAGATAATGGTCGTGTAAAATAAATGAACGCAGCGGGTGAAACATATGGAAAGTAGTACTTAACAAAAGCAATTTCTTTTCCCTTTTTAATTTTAAAATCAGTATAGAGATAAAACTTGTTGATCATGAGGTTGCTGATTAGCAGAAGGAATAAAAAGATTTGTTGATCACTATGTTACTTGAGATAATAGTTTTTCAGCTTTCCAGCTGCTGTTCAACCTATTCTGCAAATTTCTGTTTTTATGTTCTTAATGCTTGGGCCAGGTATGGGACACAGAGCTGGAACGAACAGCTGAGGAGTGGGCAGAGACCTGCCTATGGGAACATGGTCCTGCCGGCTTACTCCCACAGATCGGGCAGAACCTGGGCGTGCATTGGGGAAGGTAAATAATCTGTCAATAGAATGAAAATAATTGCTGAGGTATCAGAACGACACTGCTTTGTTTCAAAATAACCAACATGGATGGAAACTGATATTAATACTGATACAATAAATCCCTAAATCAAAGGTTTCATTTTAAACGCCCTTTTTTAAGATATGAAAATGGCCCCTTTTTTAAGATATGAAAATGAATTTGAAATTCCCCTTTGTTGACTTTCACATTATAAATCTGTGAAAATCTTGTTCACAAGTTTAGTATTTTCTGTTTATGATTCATTTAACTCCAAAAAGCCATTGCAATTAAAATGATTTGCCAACCTCTTATAATAACTAGATATATTTTTAGCATGGACCATAAATGATGGAATCAGCAAAACGTCTGACTTGACTGTTTTTTCTTTAAACATACAGGATTTACTAATGTGGGACTTTAGAATAAAACAAACACTCTTATTCTAAGCTGTAGAGATTGTCTCCTGAATTGTGCCATTGGAAAGCAGCTTCTTTCTTCTTTGCCCGTTGTTTAGCACAGAATATTAGGTTTGCAAGAAGGAGATTAGCCTTATTTAACTTAGAGAATAATAAGGTTTTCATAAGTCTATAGCTAATTTTATTATTTAATTATTATTTCAACATAAATTATTTCAGCTTTGACAAAGCAGGTGAATTTGAATTGGTTGATGCAAATATCAAATTGTGTCTAAATGCTCACAAGCAAATGCAGCCAATATTTTACAAACTTATAAAAGAAATGTAAAGTACTTGCCGATCTAGACAATCAGTGGCTTATGTTAAACAGTTGCTAAGGATCTTTATCCACTGTAAATAATATCCTGAAAATAAAACCAAACTGCTACATAAATGACACATAGATTTATATAGTTTACATTTATACAGTTCGGTTTACATGACTGTCAAGATGCTTGATTTAAGACCTTCTAACACCTGATTCCAGTCCAGTGGCCTTGGTAACAGAGCATTGGTTGTCATTTAGGTTCATCAAAACAATTATCATGAAACTGGGGGTTTTCTTAATGGTTTGCAAAACCAGATGATAGAGCTATATTTTTAAGGTCAAAATTGAACATTTATTCCCTTTATAATATGTAAGTAAATGTATGTAACATGTATTTAATTTAATATTTTTACTTAATCCAACTGTATTGCTTCCTTAAATATTTTGTGGATTTTACCATGTGACGAAAAATACCTATTTGGCTTTATGAGATCTATAAAACTTACTGTAATCTTGTTATTAGGTATCGCCCCCCTACGTTCCATGTGCAGGCCTGGTACGATGAGGTGAAAGATTACTCCTTCCCTTATCCTCAGGAGTGTAACCCCTACTGCCCTTTCAAATGCTCTGGGCCTGTCTGCACACATTACACACAGGTAATCAACCTAACTTGACTTTTTGTCAAGTCTTTTTGTTCTGTTGTTAACTGTCACTGTGTTGTAGCTTGTTTGGGCCACAAGCAGCCGAATTGGCTGTGCCATCAACCTCTGTTACAACATGAACGTGTGGGGACAAATTTGGGAAAAGGCTGTATATCTTGTCTGCAACTATTCACCAAAGTAAGCACACCCTTAAGAAGTCATATTAGGAAGTTAGATATAAATAAAAGCAAATATTTGCATTACGTTCACAAGACTTGAGCCATTTTAATAATTATTGGTTATGTAACAGGGGTAATTGGTGGGGTTATGCCCCCTACAAACATGGGACCCCATGCTCTTCATGTCCTCCAAGCTACGGGGGAGGATGCAAGGACAATCTCTGCTACAAAGGTATCCAATAGCCACAGTGAAAAAGTCAAAGAAACCAAACAGTGAGTCATCATTCCCTTTTTCTGTCTTTGTCGAAGATGATAGATCCAACCCTCCACAGGAGGAAACAGAGGAAAGCAACTTTATTGAGCCAGAGCATCCTAGAGGCACGAAACCTTGGTCTCGGGTCTCCAATCCTGCACCTCACGTCTTCCCTGCCCCAGCCCCGTCCCCCACTGAGCCCCCCACAGAGGACCAGCAGGGGTATGAAGTAGTCAACATACAGCAGATGTGTAAGTTGCCATTCAAGTGTTTATTCTGGATCAAGTTTCAACTTACATTTGTGGGTCTTAGGCTTGGTTTGGCAGATCCTGGAAGTACAGTACAGAATGTACTGTAAGGACAAACTGGGGTTAAAAAGGATTTTGCTGTTGAAGCAGCAGTATTGGATAATAAAAAGAAAACAAAACTAACTGGAACATTTTCCTTTCATCCAGTTCTGGAAACACAGCTTTGATGCTCTGTAGCATTTACTTGTCATCTACTTGATCAACTCTGACAAACTGGGCTCAATACTGCAAGGCACTCTTTGGAGAAGGTGCTTTATTTTAGCATGATCCCCCCCGAGGGCATGTTTGTTTTTGGCTTGCTGGTGCTCGTTGTGGGTTTTGACCGGCTTCCCCTCTGCAGTGCAAGGGCCCTAAGAGTGTAAGATGAGACACTTCCTCTAGTATTGATAACCCCCCTGAAATATGTTGCGGAGAAGGTTTTCAGTGTGTTTGCTTCTACAAGCAGTGAAACAATATTTTTCCTGTGGTTTCACTCAGCCAAAGCTAGTTATACTGAATTAGAGCAGCTGGCTCACTGGATGCAACTTGGCTTAGAAGTATTTCCTGAGGAGCCTTTCTGTGTTTCTGTGCTCCAGCTCAGCTCGTCACCTGCGACACAAAGCTTCGAGATCAGTGCAAAGGAACAACATGTAACAGGTAAAACAAAAATAAATCAATCAGACATGATGAGAAATGTACAGTCTTTTAAACTAGGGCTTTCCATTTCTTAACTTACAGGTACGAGTGTCCAGCTGGATGCCTGGATGCAATAGGAAAAGTGGTCGGAACGGTCTACTACGAAATGGTGAGTAAACAGGTTGATGAAAATGGCTAAAGTCAACACCTAAGGTCAAATCTGGCTATATTTACTATTGATTAGATGTTGGCAAAGAGTAATTAATTGTTTCAGCTAATGGTGTACTGTATGCATAGAGATATTCTGGTCTTAATATTAACTCCCGTCATTTCCAGGAAACTGTGTTCGATTTTAAGCGAGTTAAATTACCACAGTGTGTATTTTATCAATCAATCTCATACATTTATCAATCTGTAAGTCTCATATATTTATCAGTCAAACAAAAATTCAGATAGAAGGATAGAATATCTTAAGATTATGAGGAAATACCAATAATATCTTAGTGAAGTCAACGTGTTTTTATTTAAACTATCAGTTTATATACAAAAATAATTAAAAAAAAAATATGGTTAATAAAATTACAATCAATATTTTGGATGTTTTCTGTTTACTAGACAGAAATGCTTGTAAATTATAACCCCTGTTACAAACCCAGCATTGTGGCATATTTTTAGAATGGATGAAACATTGGACCCATGTGCAAGATTATGGAAGGCAGCAGTCAGGTTACTGTAAAACCTAATCACAAGAGTAATTTCAAAGACTGCAAATATCAGAGGGAGTAATGGCTGTCAGGGGGCATTACTGTACTGGAGAAATCCCTGAGTGAAGTGGTAAAGCCTTTACCAGAGTCAAGAGAAACCAGATTAATTGACTAGGCGTACTTTTCATAGCTAAACTTAATATGACCCAGCTTAAATGTACAGTGACATTCAGAATACAGAGTGAACTGAATGTCCAAGTACAATATATCATCTATTATTAAGTCTGAGTTATGATTACTGTAGCAACAGAAATATTGCAAAATTAATATACTGCAAACAACAATTGTCATGATAAACAGCCATTGATTAACTCAAAGACTTGGAGTTTAATTTAAAATCTGGTTCAGAAATTGAAAATATTCAGCTGAAGCAGTACTTAAACATTCATAAATAGTAGATTAAGGTAATGAATCCAAGTAAAGTATACCTACTAAGGAGTTCTTTCTATTTAAAAGCAGTGAATGCTTGAAAACATCTTTTTTTTCTCCATTTGTTTTGGACGAACAAAGTAGCTAAGAACTTTTTTCAGAAAATAGAGATACTTTGTATTTTACTATAAGAACCAATGTCTGTTTGGTCGGTCAACTTAGAAAAAAGTAAGTTGCAAAAAAAAAAGCGAAACTTTGTATACTTCTTAGAAAGATCTGCATAACTGATGCATCTATGTTTGCATGATGCATCAGTTATGCAGATCTTTCTAAGACCTGTCCCAATAAAATGTATATAATTTAACAAAATACTGGTCCCAGCATTGCCTTTTGAGAATCACATGTATTTGTCTCTAAAGTTGTTGGGCAGTATTTATACTGTAAGCACATACACTATGGGCCGGATCTATCAAAGGTTTGCGTGTATAAAAACGTGAGCTATTTCACTGTGCACGCTAAAAAATGTACAAACTGATCTATCAACAGCGTGCTAAAAGGATTTGGTCTTTAAAACATGCTAAATAGTGCCTCTTATCCATTTAGTACT